GTGTGTGGCTTTGGAGATGGCGGAAGTGTGGGGCTATGCAATCCTCCATGGCATCGAGGAAGTTGTACGTGGAGGGGGATTGTGGGGGTGAATACCGGAAAATGGACTCATCGAAGGTAACATGTCGGGAGACAATGATTTTCTGAGTGGCTATGTCCAAGTACAGATAGCCCCGTTGAGACTCGAGGTAGCTAAGAAAAAGGCAGCGCGCAGAACGTGGGGCGAGTTTGTGGGGTGCTGTGGCGGATAAATTTGGGTAACAAAGGCAGCCAAAAACGCGGAGGTGTCTGTATGATGGAGGGGTGTGATATAAGGCTTCATGGGGTGTACATTTTTGGAGGGTGGTGGTGGGGAGAAGATTGTAGAGGTGAGTGGCCATATGAAGGGCTTCAACCCAAAATTGAGGTGGTAGATTTGCTTGGAAGAGTAGGGTACGGAAAGTGTTATTTAAGGTACGTATGGTGCGTTATGCGCGGCCATTTTGTTGGCTAGTGTAAGGGCAAGAAAAACGGAATAGAATACCCAAAGACTCAAAGAAGGTGTCTAGGAGGTTATTTCTATATTCTGTTCCATTGTCACATTGTACAGCTTTGATGGTGGTTTGAAATTGTTTTTTAACCATTGCATTAAATTTTACGAGATGAGAGTAAGCTTCAAATATGTGACGTAGAGGGAAAATCCATAAATAGTGTGAAAAGTCATCTAGTAAAAGCATGTACTCCCTCCGTCCACAAATAAAGTTCCCATTGCGCGGTACGATGTTTGACTGAAATTATTTTCAAATCATTTTATATCAAAAATGGTATGGAATTAAAAAATAAAAATTATATATTTAAAAACTAAATGAAAAGATCTACAAAAATAGAGGTGACATGACTATATTATTTTATCAAATAAGACACAAAAATAGGCCAATAAAGTGAATAAAGTTTGACCCTGTGAATAGTGAACAATAACTTTATTGTTGGACGGAGGGAGTAGAATTTAAATCCAGTAACACTAAGAACAGGCAATTGCCATAAGTCCGTATGCATTAATTGAAACGGAAAAAGAGATACACGACTCGAGGACTGAAAAGGAGGGCGAACATGTTTGCCTAACTGACATGCATGACATAAAGAATCTAATTGAGATTTATTAAAACTATCTAAAGAAGAAGAGACGCCATGGAGAACTGCTTGGGTTGGGTGTCCAATACGGCGGTGCCATGTGGACAGGTCGACTTTGGCAAGGTGTAGGTGCGCTAGGGGATGGTCTTGAGATAGCAGGTAGAGATGTCTGTCACTACTGGATCGATGAATCACGGCTCCCGTCCGTTTGTCCTTCACAAAAAACCGGATGAGTCAAATTCAACGGAACAGTTGTTATCACGAGTAAACTGACGGATAGAAATAAGGTTGTGAATAATATGTGGGGAGACAAGGACATTTTTCAGGGAAAGGGGAGGGTTTGTGTTAAGGAGACCATTACCAGAGGCCGCAGTGCACACTTTAGACACATTACCTATAATAATATGAGAGGGTGAATAAATGTTTGAAGAAAATACATGAGATAAAGTACCTGGGTCAGCAGTGATATGGTGAGAGGCTCCAGTGTCCATGAACCAGGTTGGGTGGGAGTTCAAGCTTAGATTTTCAAGGTTGTGGGCAAGGGCGGTGGGTGAGTTAGGGTTTGGGTAAGGGTACGGGTAGGGTTGGCTTGGGGCTGGGTAATAGGGATGGGTTTGGGCAGGGGGCCGGGGTGGTACGGGTGTGCGTTTGGGGTTTGGGCCATGTGGGCCTGTGCTGGGTAGGGTGGGTGGGCTGGGTAGGGGCGTGGGCCGAGAAGGCCGGGTGTAGGGTTGGGGAACTACCAGGGTTGAGGTCTGGTGGGTTGTCGTTGATTGGTGCCGCCACGCCCGAGACCACGGCCCTGTCCTCGATTGCCGCCATTGAAATTACGAGGTTGACCGCCATATCCATGCCCAGGACCGCCTGCCTGCCGCTGCTGTCCGCCCCCCGCTGGACTCCTGCCGCCACTGCTGGTGGTAAGGAGGGTCATCGACGAGTCGGCGCTGTGGGTGGCGTCGGTTTGTTATTGTTCGAAGAGCAACAGGGCCGAGCGGACCTCCAAAAAAGTGGGGAACGAAGTTTGATATTGGAGAAAAGTAACCTGATCTCAGATGTCTTGAGGCAAACCTTGAAGAACCTGCAGAACCAAGGCATGTTCGGTCACCGGAGCATCCACATCATCGAGATAATCAGCGAGATTTTTGAGGAGATGGCAATATTCATTAATTGTCTGATTCCCCTTGACGGTTGTGTGAAACTAATGCTCCAATTGCATCGCTCGAGCATGTTTATTATCATGAAACAATTTATAGATCGCCGTCCATAGAGAGTGAGCGGAGGGTTGTTGGCGAGAACTGTTGGAGTTGTGCCCTGATGGCCAACTGTTCATCGTTATCCTATCATGTATAGGCAGATATAATATGTTTACACATCTCATGCTAATGTAAACAAATATTATATTCCTAGATTTATATTTAAATATGTTTATCAGATAGTGTTTTTCTGCTGATGAGACTAACATCTTGAAATAAATATTTATCTGAATGTCCATAGTCGAGTATTAACGAGAGTAGGATATCGTTAATGCATGTGAGACTAGTGTGTGTTGGATGTTTGACTTAGTCTCATAGTCAATGACGGTGTGTTCGCATCCGCACATGGACAGATATTATCTGGAGATAATAGGATGCCGGACTGACCCATCCTAAAGATGTTGCTTGAACTTTTAGTTCATGCTCTAAGCATCTTTAGCGCGACCACGAGTGTAACTATCCTTCGACTTGAAGTATTACGTTTTCTGCATATGTGAACCCGCATACTTTGATGCATCGTCCTAAGCCATATGAAATAAGGATGGTATACAGGCTTTGTTTTGGGTATGCTGCAACGCGTATTCAGAAACGTAGATTACGTACATAGGATTTGTCACTACTCTTTTTAAGAGATTAATGTCTTATGTGGCTCACTGATAAGTCATGACTGAGGTAACTGCATGGCCATGCTGAGATGTTTTTATGACGTCTATTCCTATCAGCCAGACTTGATAAATCAGTGAATGACTTAATGGATACAAGCTGGATTTTATTAATCCCTTGCATTAAGTCTAGACATTGAGACAAAGTTTATATATATATATATATATATATATATATATATATATATATATATATATATATATATATATATATATATATATATGTATGTATGTATGATAACACCGAAATATATATATATAAATATATTATATGTTAAATATTTTATTTTGGTTTGTCATTTTAATTATGAAAATAATTATTTTGACATAAACTATTTAAAGTATATTTTTATACTTGTTTAAAAATTATATTCATATTTTATTTGATTTAAAATTAATTTTATATTAATTTTTGATGTCAAATAAAATACACTTTGAACATTTGAGTGGAGAAGAATTTCACAAATCTTTCTCATATCATTGTTCGGCCAAGTGGAGATTTATGGAATCAAGTTTTTCTTTTGATTGATTCATTAGTGGAGCTAATAATGTTTTGTCATTTAGTTAATGACAAAGTCAAATTAATCACTTTTCTTCTTTATAATTGACACGCCACTTTGTAAAAGGATTTAGTGATTTGGGCTATTGTTTAAGAGTGTATTTTTCGGCCATTATTTCCTAGTGAGAGGAAATATATTTTTATGTTCCATTAATATCATTTTGTGTATAGAAAATATCTATAATATTTTCTAAATATTATTGAAAATATTTTCTATAGAAATATACAAGATTATTATTATCCCAAATTTTAATCTTTATATTTTATACTACTATAATCTTTACTAGCATAAAGATTGTGGTAGACTCCGACGTTGTTCGTGTGTCAAAGTTAGAGACCGGACGCTTGAACGGTTACGTTTGCACTTTCAACGCTTTTCCCACGACTTCTTCGTTTTTACCGCTTACGGAGAAAGGTATAAATTTCTTACTACTATAAGTTTTATTACGTCATTCTGGGCAAGATAATCATGTTAGGATGTTAAAAAATTTTATATTCCGTTGCATATCCTTGCATGGTTACCTTTCAAGAACAAGATCTGAAACTTCGTCGGTGACCGTGGAAAGAATCCACCCTTGGAGTAAGGCATCAAATTGGTACCATTCAACGTCGTCGGAGGAAGAGGCAACGTTGGTGCCGTCAAGGAATCCCATGAGATTGAAGCGAAGAACAAGGAGACGAAAGAGTTTGCTCCACTTTTTGTAGTTTGGTTCGGAGATGTAACACCCTAATCCGTCCAGGTTTACAACCCCTTCCGAACTAAAGTATTAACTTGGTAATCGTATAATTTAAAGCATTTCAAATAACTTTATTCATCATAAATGAAATTCCAAACATAATTGTAGTAAATACGGAGTGTTTAATGCGGAAGCGATTTTTAAACATGGTTCATAATAACATAATCATTTATTTTCTCAATAAATCCACCACGACTGTCTCGCCCCTTCCGCTGCCAAGAACATGTCATTTACTCATTCTGTCTACCTGCGTGTAGCAAATAAAACATACTACACGCTCAGCGATGAAGCTGAGTAAGCATATCTAAAGCATCGAACATCCAAATAAATTGAATCTCAATTCATAATCAACCATTTGATATCATGCACACAATATATGATTCAAACATTCATGATATTCTCAATATTTTATTCCAAGTCATTCGATATTCAATATCTCAACCATGCTCTTAAATTATTCTTAATCTAAGGCCAAATCATTTTATAACAAGCTCTTAGCTATTCCTAGTCTAAGGCAACATTTCTAACCAGGCCCTTAAACTATAAATAGTTTAATG